ATCCTTTTCAAAGTTTTTAGAATTAGCCAAAATTGCAACTTTTGAGAGAGAATTATAGGTAGGTTTGAACCTTGGTAAGAAGAGAGAAATTGTAATGATCCAAGCAATGGATCAACTCGGCCAAATCACAATTCATATAAGTGCAATTATAGGATTTCACAATTTGAAACTAATAAATCATTTCACAGATTGTTAAGAAGCAAAAAAGGAGGAAGCTATAATTGGAATGTTAAGAAAACAAAGTGATTGATGATTTTTGTTTCAAATATATCGCGTGTTTATTGCTAGAAAAATGCTAAGGTGCCCCCAAATGGTTGTTACATGGGATGCACCCATGCTTCGCATAGATGATTATCATCTGTGTCATTTGTACGAAACATGGGTGCATCCCTGATAGCAATCATTTCGGGCACCCAACATGACCCTTATTACTATTAGCCCAAAGTAAAAGGTAAAAACATCCTCCAAGATTTATGCAATAAGAGGAAGTATGAATGAATAGAGAGTGAAAGCAAATCATATGCAATAAATAATGGCAACTTAAAAAAATAGTCCACATCACATATCCATGTAGGGTAGTTAGGAGTAGGGAGCGGATGGCTATTTTGGCCATTTTTGCTCCCTCCTACCATAAGACTACCCAATACCAGATTTGGTCGAATCTATTACACATTATAATCTCCACTACAATATGCACAAACACAACAATGCACTCAAAATCCTTGAAGAAACATTAATGATGTCAATGCCATTATGCCCTAATTAAGAATCATGGCAATTCAGAGGCAGTACCCAACCATACCACTACGAGCTTACAAAAATTGGGGCGGGGAAAAATAAATTAGGAGAAGCTCTATATAAGATAAGTTGAAGTGACCCACAAGAACACATAGGTTATAAGTGAAGTAGTAACCTCCAAACTCCTGGGCCCTTTAAGTATGGGAGGGATTACAGATACCATAAGGAATGTCCCTAGCAGCCAGGAGAAAATAAACGCCCCAGCCCTGCAAACCAAAGGAGCACATCAGAAAGCGGCACTAATCGTAGAGTAGTTAAGGTGTTAAAGGAATTGAGGAAACATATTTCACACGCGTGTGTTTTAGAGCCTCACTTTAAGATTAAGCATTTAGAACAATAATTTCTTAATGTTCATTCATTTAAAAGTCCCTGGGTCCATTAAAGGAATTGGAGTGTTCGAACAACTTATATGCTGGTTTTGTGTTATATTTGTTGGGTGTGGGATGGTTTAACATGCCCACAAAATGGTGGCTTGTAAGTACAAACTTTTAATGCTGGTTTGTATTTTTATACTTGTATTGGCTAGGTCTGGGATGATTTAACATGCTACACAAGATGAGGGCTCAATGTGACAGACCAATCTTGAAGTTGTGTGCTCATTTTTTTAAGCTTTTCGAGATCCAAAATGATCATTACCATATTAAGACTAGAGAATTCTACATAGATCTTGTATAACGCTGATTTTATCTAAAATTATCTAAAAGGTCAAGTTGATACCAGATAATTCTACACAGATCTTGTATAACCCTGATTTATCCTTGCCTATGCACATATGTCCACAAAATTTCAGCATAAAAATTACTACTTACACAATTTCATCAATGAGAGTAAATAGTAGCATACCCATAGAGAAAAGCTTTGAGTTTGCTCTTTAGCCGGGCATGAATGAAATAAATGGTACTGATAAGGGAAATGGCTACTTGAAGAGTCGGGCCTTCTTCGGTTGGAAACAGAACCGTCATAGCTCCAATAACAATGAAAGCAATGCAAGTTTTTATCAAAAAAGATGTAGCCGGAGTGCGGAACCTGCTTGTCACAAACTGTACAACCTTAGATTGAGTTACTTCCTTCACCTTTTTCTTAATATTTATTTTTGGGTTCTTCCTTTCATAGAACTTCTGCATGATTATTTTATCATGTGCTGATTCAATAGAATCCACACTTGGTTTATGGCCAGCATATTTTCTTATTAGGAAGTTCCTGGCAGATTGGATTTCTTCTTCAGAAGCCTCCCTGCTGATTCCAAGTCGTTTGTATGGATCCATAATGTTGATCCTAGGAAAAATAGCTACACTCAAGAAATATAGAAAGAACAGCTTTAGGAATTATTGGGTAATAAGTTAATAAACCTACTAGAAAACCTAAATCACGGCAAACTCAATGTAATTGTGAATGGCCAAGTTCAGTAAATCAAACAAAAGGTTATATTATTTTGACTTATATCTCATATCCAAGGTCTTCAGTGTGTAAATCCTCAAAACTCATTTCAGAAACAAGAAAAATGAAAACAATAAGAATTACATGAAACATTGAAGCTCTATTTGGTAGCCTTGTTGGGCTTATTGCCTTATTCCAATTATTTATTTAACTGAAATGGATGTTACCAGAAGACCAAAAACTTCCATTTTCAAATAATACAGCTAATTCAGCCATTTCACTCGAATAACCCTTACCAAACAGGACTTAAATCTTCATTGAATTTTTTATTTGACCAGTTATTCTAACTATTGTTTTAAGTGTTGGGCTGTTAGGCAGTATACTTGGCTAGTTGCATCTCCATCTACTGTAGTTCATCACAAAACGAATTAGCTTTTGATAAAAATTTGGAAAAAGATTTGAACAAAGCATGCTCCAAAATCCAAATTCTTTCCCAGTAGACACATTGTACTTAATACGTTGTTGCATCATTTGACAGAGACACATCAAGCACACACACTAGTCATATTAAATATTAATTCACGTCACTCAAAAAAGTCAGATGATGTATTCAAACAAATAGAACTTGAAAAAAAAAACTCTATTACTACAAAAGAAAGCATTTACCAGCAGCATCGCCCATGGAATCCCCATATGAAGCTGACATCGAGCACTTGACAATACAACTTCGCTCTATGTTGAATTTCCTTGTATTATCAGCCAAGAGTCTTCATGATTAAATGACAGCATGAAAATAAACAGTTACAACATACTCAATCACTTGTAAGAAAAAAAATGTTGGAATAAAACAGCAATTGAGCAAATACCTCATTCTAGATGCATTTGGGAATACCAGAACCTTCTTGGCTGGCAACCCAAAACATCGTACGGGTGGGTGAAGGCTGTATCTCAATGGTAAGGTGGTTAGCCCAGACACAGTCATCGTAGGTTGAACAAGAGACACCACGAATCTGACAGAATAAAGAAATCAAATGAAGCTAGCCAAAACCGACCATTTCAAAATAAAACTCAAGTGCATCCCGAAACTGTTCTTCCTAGAGATAATTTAACAAAAAGTTTATATACTCTAATTCAAAAGAAAAGGTTATATACTCGCATTTCTTATCATTAACAAAAATAGTAAAAATGAAAAATCTCAAAACAAAGTGGTTGGAATTGAAATCAAACTCAATGCTGAGAGATATAAAACACCAGCTAGAGATTCCACTGCTATAGCAAAACTCTAACTAAATCAAAGTTCATTTTGGTGTTGAAACCCTATTACTACCCTAACAAAACTAAAATTTGAGCTTTAACGATTGAAACATAACGGAGATTGAGATAAGCACGGTTCTGGCCGGCCGGCCGGCGGAGATAAGCAGGAAGATGAGCAACAATTTTCCGTTGGCACTCAGCGAAGCGGCTTCTCGCGTTCGGTGGTTTGTGCTATATACGCGGACCCAAGCGGATCGATGGGGGCGTCAAACCCGTTTCGTTCGGGCGGGTGTTTGGTTAAAGAAAAAAAAACTTTTGCCCAAATTAGATTTTAATCGCAGATTGGTGATAAAGAATAGAACTTACAGAGGCCTTATGCTTAGCATGGTTGCTTCTCTTAGCGCAGTTATCAGAAATCAAACTTAGGTCTTATCCTCTTAGCAATCATTACCTTATCAACTATACATCCACGAAGGTCCCCTCAGACCTGGCTAGATGGTAAATTGGACTTTGATCGCAGATTGGTGTCAAAAAGTAGAGCTTACACCTGGTACTTGCAGAGGTTCTATGCTTAGCATGGTTGACTCTTTTAGCGCAGTTACCAAGAATTGAACTCGAGTCTTACCCCTTAGCACTCATTGTCTTACCAACTACACAACGCCCACCAGCATTTGGCTAAAGAGAAAGAAACAAGATTAATAATATACTCCCTCCGTCCCATAAAGTGTTACCCATTTTGATAAAGTAGAAATTAAGGGAGGGATAATTTTGTGTTGACTTTCCAAAAATACCCTTGATGTGATAGGTAAAATTAGGATGTGATGTGTAGATTATTAGGAAAAAGGTATGATGTGATAGGTAGGGTTTGAAAAAGTAAGAGGTAAAAGTAGTTTTTTAATAGAAATAGGTAGGAGATTGTAGGACATAATTTTTTGAAAGGTGTAAATCTTTTTGGGACGGAGGGAGTATTTACTTTGCGGGTAAGAAGCATAACCTCAAAAGGATTCTAGTAACTACGGAAGTCTAATGTTCAGAAGTCATGTGTTGGATGTACATGATTAATGAAAAGAAAATTATTCATTACATAAGGAGTGTTAGTGTGCGTAAAAGAAAAAAAGAATAGACTTGAAGTTGTAATCATAATTACACAAGAAATCGAGAATTACCACTTCTAGTCATATGTGGATTGCAATAAGGCTTTTAATTGGTTAATCCTACTCAGCTAGGGTTAGAGGTGCTCTTATGAATAGCACAAAATCTCACACAAAGGAAAAGGAGTATCAGAGAAAATGCACGAGAAAGAGAATGTGATCGTGTAAGTTAACACTGAACATATACATTCACAACGTGAAGGAGTTGTACATGTCATTTTACACTGAAATGGTCATGTGCATAAGAGAAAGAGACGGATGTGCTTGCCATCTCTAGTTTTATAAATTACAAGTGTCTAAATTTTGAGAAATGATTCTGAAACTAGAACAGCTAACATGTCATATGCATTTTTGAAAGCCGAAAAACAAGGCCGGACATGATTCGAGCTAAAACTCTTAGGGGCTGTTTGGCAACTTCTGAATGGGTAAGTGCTGAACCAGTAAGAGGTCTGAACCATTAAGAGCTAGTATATTGCTTAACTATTCAGAGGCAAATGTCTGATCAATTCAGATAAGAGGTCTTAACCATTCAGACTCTGTATAATACTTAACCATTCAGAGGCAAATCTCTTAACCATTCAGACATCTGAACCATTAAGAGGCTGAAACAAACAGTCTGAACCATTAAGTGCTGAACCATTCAGACATCTAAACCATTAAGAGGCTGAAACAAACAGCCCCTTAGTCTTGTAGTCAGCATTTTTCGAGCTAAAACTCTTAGTCTTGTAATCAGCATTTTTTGTCATAATAATTTGAAAAAGTGTAATGTTATTGATTAATACAACTTACTTTCAAGATTTAGTGAATGATGATTAGACAGATTTAAGTCCCACATGCCACATGTTAGAATGCTTTCTCCGAAATGCACTGATAACTTTATGTGCATTATTTACTGCTTGCATATATTTCTATTTATATGTGCACTTTCGGAAGATGTTGTAGCACTCTATGTGCCCATTCGGCCGTCTCTTTACAATGCTACATCATCTCATCTCTTTGCTATGTTGTTTGATTTGTTGCTACATCATCTCATCTCTATGTTCTGATTTTAATCGAAAAGTGTCGAATCGTACGAAGTTTACACTTCTTTTGAACTTAACTAAAAATAAGTTGATAAAAAAAGACTTATTCATTTACAGTTTTTTAAAAGATGTTTGGTAACTTGGCAGAATACTGCAAAATAAAACTCCCTCAGCATTGTGTTTAGAGTTATATAGAAATACAGCCAAAGAGCCACTCAGGCTGCAACAAATGAATGTGACGTCACTGTATAATTAGTATTGTTGTACAAAGATAAAGAGCAGATCTATGTTATATGTACAAATGCCCAATTGTGATCATGAGTTACAAGAACTAATAAACTGTACAATATGACACAATTATACATCGACACTCTTCCCAGGGGAGTGCCACTGCTTTCGTACAGAAATCAGCCAATCGTCCAATCCCATTCCTACAAGCCTGCAAAACAATTTCATATATCTTTGTCCGCGTAAATATAAAAATGACAAGAGTGGAAAAGAACTTAGGTTCAGTCAAACTGTCAAACACACTGTATCAGCCAAATTTAATCCAACCAAACAAGGCTTCAATTCTACTACCATGAAAGATGTGCACATATTGAGTACAATGAAGAAATATAGTAACCCTTCTCTCTTTTTTGGGGTAAATAAACTCACCACTAATATATCGTCACGACTGAAAGAGAGTTACAGTGGTAATATGACCATTCTTCATCACCTGTAAGTTATACATTGTGTTATAGATGCACATAAATAAGTGTGAAGTAATGAATCTAATGATGTATTGATATTACTTCCTCCATCCTTAATTAAGGTTTCATATTTGATTGACCACAATTAATAAAGGTAAAATTGTGTGTTTGATAATAACCACACAATCCTTTCCTTAATAGGAAAATGGAACCTTTTTTGGGACAAACAAAAAAGAAAATGTGGGACCTTTTTATGGGGCAGGGGGGTAGTAAACTTAGATTGTGTTCAAGTGTTGACCTCAAATGCAACATTTGGGTAACCATACACAAACGTAGATCCGAAAGGATTGCTTGTAGAGCCTTGTGTTTGAATAGCAGCTCGACCAGAGTCCCCAAGTATTTCCTGCAATGAACAAATTGAATCAATTAATCCACTTCCACATAGTAATATTCTGATATGAATGTTATGCCATGCATGCCTTGTTTAGATTGTTGATATTCAATCCCGAGAGTTCACTTGTTTCTGAGACTCTGTGGTGTTAATGTGCACACGTTGGGATAAAGAGAAACAGAAAATTCCCCAAGAGCATCTCCAGTGCATGAATATATGAGGCCCAAGGTCTCCATCTCTTTCTTATACGGCAATCACTTGGGATTCCAATCCAAGTCCCACCCCAATTGCATGAGTTCTCAAAACTTGGGATCGTCCCAACACGGAGGGACCGACTCACCTCTTCTCTTATTATTTTAAAATTTGTTTCCACTATTTTTATAACTAAGTTGATAAATGTTCAAGTCACTTGGAATTCAACATGGGACCATCATAAAGGTGTGCTGTTCCAACCCAAAAGGAAACCCGGTGCACAGAGCATCCCTGGTGAGTGATGGTCTGCGAATGGGTCCCATCATAAAGGTGTGATGTAGGCAAATCTTACTTGCATGTTTGCAAGAGGTTGCTTCTAGTACTCGAACTTGTGGCATCATTGTCACATGGCAAATGAGCATTTTAAAACTAGAGGATTTAAGGCAGCACTTCATCCTATGTGTTTTGCCTCACAAGAAAAGAGCCATTGGCCAATCTGGTCCACAATTCAAAAAATATATATTACCTTAACTTGTTCCCACTTCGTGCGCGGTGTAATAGTGTGCTTAGAGTTAGCATCCTGATGAAATGAACCACCAACTGCAGACAAGGTAATGTGAAAATAACCCCAACAACTAAATATATACACAAATGAAACATGCAAACTCAATAAATAAACTTACAATCTGAGGTGTGGATGACAAAGTTGCATTTCATGTATGAATTAAAATCAGCATGCCCGGGATAGTTGGTGTGCAAGACAAACTTCTTTATTTTATGAGTCTACAAAACATATTTTTAAATAGTAACAATTTACTAATAAACTTGTAATTAAGAGTTTGATATGGTAACCTAATGATGTTATATATGTGAGAACAATAAACTACCTGCCCGTCAAATAAAATGTCTAGTCCTCGTGTGAAGTAATTATAGAAATAATCTCCGCAGAGGGTAGTCCGAGGACGAAGATCGGAAGCGGAATGAATCACCATTTGGTCAACCTATGAAACACATAAAGTTAATACCCATCCATAGCAAGACCATCAAACATCGAAATCACATGAATAGATCTGTGTGTGTGTGCATGTGCGCACTTTCACTCCTCACACTGTGGGTCACTGCTCATTGGGGTCCTCTCTGAAACCGCCGGTAAGGTTTGCATACATCTTGCCCCAGACCAGATATACTGGCTTTGTTAGGTAATTGGGTTTGGGTTCGTATTCATACCTGTTTTTGGTGAATTCCACAAGGACGGCCTAATTCAGTCCATATATCCTGCAGAGAAACAATAGAAGATGAATAGCTATGTTTAGCTTCATCATTAATCTTTCCTAATATCCCAACTTAGAGAAGATGACAAGAATGTAAACTGGAAAAGTGAGAACAATTTCTAGTCCAACTTATATCCAAAATGTAAGCACAATTGAGCACAGTTGAAACTTGAAAATTCAGAAATTACTCAGGAAAGAATATCTAACAAGAGAAGAAAGGAGGTCAGCCTATTTTATGTGTAAGACAGTGCAAAGAAACAAAATTCATTACTGTATCTACTCGAGTAGCTAGATCAAGATAAACAACTAAAGAAGCATATGAGAAACACATTCATATGATACAATGGTTGATGAAAGGAACTGCAGACAATATCAACCATGAAGTGATGAAATGAGATGTGTAATACCTGTGGGGAAGCACCAAAAGGAATGTGTTGACCACCAACAGTAAACCACAACTCTTCCCCTAACTGCGCACATTGAAAATCGACTTCACGGGTGGATAAAAGAGAAACTGTTAAACAACTAACTCAAAAATCAAATCAACTTTATTCACACCATATGCCATATTATTATAGGTCAAAAAATATAACCATGTCTAAAATTTTGCCATTTTAAGGCCCCGATAAATAAAGATTTTTTAAAATTAATGAACCTGAACTTGCACTTCCTCCATATATAGGCTTCCAGCAGGCAAAGGAGGAGGTGATGCCTTGTCCATCAAGGAACCTACACCAACTTTACTGCCGCTAGAACTATCATATACCGATACACGGCATGTAACTGGTGTTGTGCCGTCAGGGAATTCTAGAGGCAGTTCCGCTAAATGAAAATAACCAACAGTCACTGGAAAGTTAGGTAATTGAACAAACTTATCAAAGAATTTGTCAACAAAATACCTTCTCCATCAAAACAGCATTCTGTATACTGTGAGGGAATCGGAAAAGCAAATGAAAGCCCCTAAAAGTTAACATATAAGAGAAATCATATAACATATATAAGTTTGTAAAACAGCGAAGACTCGTTACAAAACTGTCAGCAGTACATACCGGGTAAAATAGGGTATAAACTCCTCTGTTTTTGTCATACTTTCCAGGATATGTTGGCCCAAAAAGAGCATAAACAGCAACAAAAGTGGCGAGTGTTGATGGTCCTCTGACATGAATGAGAGAAAAAATAGGAGTACGTTGACCAAAATAATGAAATATACGCGGGCTTATGGAAGGACACCTACCCAATTAGAGACGTGGCATAACGCATTTGAAGTCGTTTCACATCAAAAATTTCTATAAGGCGCAATCTCTGACAGAGAACAAGTTAATATCAATAAGACATGTTGATTATTATCTTAATTAAAATGCATTTGAACCTCTCAGATCTACAGGAAAATTTCTATAGAACACAAAAATTATCATTTGCATCTTCTCCTAAGCAGATAGCAGAATGTAGTTTGCATGCATCAGGTGAATTAGGTACCTGAGACCAAGGATCGAAGCGAAGATGGAAGCCATGGTCTGGAAAGCTAATAACAATGTCAAGTTTTAAGGGATCCTGCAGAAAACAAAATTTAAAGCTTGGATGACTTTTGGAAGATTTTTGAGATGTCAAAGATGCATCAGTACAATGTGTAAAGAAAACATGGGATACAGAATGGGGCAACTTTAAACTCAGCTAACCAGACACACAAAAAGATACTGTAAGACCCTTGTCGAGTATTATTTTCTTATGTCAAACACAGCAAGTTAGAGAAACTGAATATCATCTGCAAATTTATACTTGGTAAACGGAGAAGCATACCTCGTCATAATACTTGACATGAACGACATCATAAATGTTAGGTTTCCTCTCTATTTGAGCAAAGGCCTCGCAAATCGGCATTCCTACAGAGTTACAACCAATTAGCTCAAGTTCAGGAACTTCCAATGAGCAAACCTACCTCTAACTCATAAGCAGAACCCATCATTCACTAAACGCAAAATTCAACACTGTGACCCGCCGATTAAACGCTGTTACAATCTAAACAATTCAATTGCACCCAATTTCGTGGGAAAACTAGAAAGAAAGAGGGTACATATACCGAGAGAGAAGGGGCCGATGCCTGCTCCAGGGCGAAGATCGAAAACTATAGCGCCCATGGCTGTGCCTTCGCACCTGCGTCTCGGCCTCTGCTGAATCATTGCTGGGGACTCACTCTTGCAGAAAATGCATAAAACGATTCAACTGCTGGTGCCCGATAGCGATCTACAGTTGAAATTGAGGAAGAAGGCGTTTTGGAGTGGACTATGGTCCTTTCGCGCAGGGGATTGCGTTTGAAGTTTGAGCAAGTGATTGGTTGCTTCGAGACGGAGGAAGGACTACCACGATGATGATGATGCTGATGCTGATGATGATGATGATGGAACTGGGAAGGAGGAGAACTAACTTTCTGTGGAAATGCCTGGGCAGCGCAAGTCGTGTTCGGACCCCACAAGGGTGACAACAAAGAAAAAACCATAAAACTCACGGAGTATTAATACCATGAAAAATACTCTCCAATTCTCCATTATTCAAATTTTAAAATAACCTTTTATTTGTAATTTTTCATTTTTTATTTAATAAAATAAAGTATTTTTGTCATCCATAAATGTATGATACACTCGATGTATTTTTCACTTTAGGCATTCTGACAAACTCAAACTAAAATAATACAGAGTATTTCAAAATGAACATTATGTTATTTCAAAATAAATATTGCGTTGCTTCAGAATGAACATGTTATAAAATAAAAAATGCGTTGTTTCAGAATGAACGCTAAGCATGCTTTAGAATGGACCCTACAGTTGATGTTGATTCAAAAAGAACATCATGGTCTCTTGATTCAAAATGAACATCTTACTGATTCAAAATAAATTAAATATTTACCAATGTACCTAATTCTAAGTAAAGCTGAGTGTACGGTATACATTTTCGCTGTCATCTCTTGTTTTGTAGAATTTTTTATATTGTTTTTAAATAATAAGCTTTATATGAATTTTGGCGTAAAAGTGACTTTGGCCAAAAGTGACCTTAAATGACCTTGACATTTAGAGGCATCCACGATATTCCATTGATGAAATTGATGATTTTTACCCTCTCGTAACTCCCCAGCTCCCTAGATCGCTAATTTGGCAAGACCATTACCCGATCTAGATGCGCGGGGTTGCAAGGAATTAGAATAATTAATTTTACCAATGAAGTACTCTAGACACCTCAAGTCATTCTAATGTCAAAATAGTCATGGTTTGAAGAATCGTTGTGTTTTTTATACCAATTTTTAAATAAAATAAATTAAAATAGTATGATATTTTTTCCGTTTGTGAATGATGACATCCATTGTGGGACAGAGAAAGTAAAACTTTCATCGAGTTTCAAAATAAATTTTACATTTTTCTTTTTCTTTTTAATTAAATACGAGTAACTCTTTGAGTTTAGGAAACCACTTATCAAATCAACTCAATGCACTTAATTATTTAAGAGAATTAAACAATCTACCTTTTCTAACTGAATCTTGAGGGATATATTGGGTACGGAACCTTGTACATGGTTTATGTATGCTTCAAAAGAGCTCATAAGGTCTATAAGCAGGTAAGTGTCATCATCACATTACCAATCCTTGAGAGAATTAGTTTTTTATTTCAATAATGTGTATACGATTTCAACCCAACATCGTACCTTTTTTGAGTCATGGTCTTCACATTCCGTGCCCAATATATTCCAACCATTTGACACACTTACAAAAGTCATTACAAAACACAATTCAAACTTAGGTTGTATTTTTAGTCTCTTCAACGTTCACATCCGTATGTAAATGGAGTGACTACAACATGTTTAAGAGCATGGGTAATGGCAAGTAAGAAATTGGATGCCACACGATGACGTGGAGTATTTTAGCCAATCAAAACAAGTCCAGTCAGCGTGTGGTACATGAGTGGAGTGGCATGTCTTGCAGTGGCAAGTCACTCTTTTTATCATTTTTACACCTTTTTAATATAATTTAATTATTAATAATTAATTTACTTACCTTTTTAAATAAAAATAATTGCAATCTTTTTTTGGCAATGTTAACATTTTGACATATTTTAATTAGTCCATGTATGTTTTTTTTTTATTATAAATTATTGCATTTTCTTGTAAAGATTTTAATTGTACAAAGAGAAAATTAATTTTTTAAATTAAATTATATAATTTCACATAAAACATTAATGTTTAAAAATGAATATTTTTTAGTCTCAAATAAAGGTTACTCCGTAGTGGCAAGCCATTGTTTTTGTCACTTATTATATATTTTTAGTCATCCTTTGTGAACGCCCTGATCCAAATTGAATGTCATGTTCTGCAGTGGCAAGTCATTGTTTTTGTCACTTATTATATATTTTTAGTCATTTAATTATTAAAATTTATTTTAATTATTTATTTGATAAAAAATACTTCTATAACCTTTACAATAAAAGAGCATTCTTTTTCTTTATTAAAAAAATCATCTTTTTCCTTATTAAAAAAATTTTAAAAACGTTGTTATCTGCATAATTTTTTTAAAGTGTTATCTATTTTATTAATTTAAATGTCTTAGAAAAAAATATTTTATTTTTAAAACAATAGTGCAGTGTTGAGTGGCATGACATGAAGTCTTCTTTTGCCATTTTGATACTCCATATCCTTTTATCAATAGCGCCTACGGGCTTTCTTCAAAAAAATAAAAAGAAAAGCAACAAATATGCCTCGCACAAGCCACGCTAATCAGGGTGGAATTCTCCTTCCATTCCACGGCAAGCAAGTCAAAGTATTACATGGCAGGGTGTGGCACAGAGAAAACTCGCCGCTGTTACTGCTCTAAGGGTTGAAGAGCAGCTTCATCATTGATCACATTCACAAGGGGGCATAAAGGATATAAAATAATTTATATTTATCACATACCATGGTAATAGAGTGGTATAAGAAAAAAAAGTTGCATCACAAGCTATCTTAAGAGCTAAGTCACATACTACAATCGAAACTCAACAAACATACATTGATAAATTTCAATCGCATGCACATAAAGCTGAACCATTAAGGTAGCTCACATACCACTATATTACAAAGAAATTGCAGAAATTGAAACAAATTAAAATACAAATTGAAGATAAAATAAGTTAGGGCATATCTTGATATAAGAGGAGTGGAAGGTAAATTCTAAATAAAGTCTTTATAAAAAGTCATGGTACTATGACTGCGTTCCGTTCGTCTAACGTGATCTGATTTTTTAAAGTTTTGATCTGATTGGATCTATTTTGATTTGATCGGATTTGATTGGATTTGATCTTATATAAATTTAATTTAAATTAAAATTAAAATTATTATTATAATATTGTAATAATAGTAATAACAATAATAAAAATAATAATCATGATACTAGTCATAATAATAGTAATAATAATAATAATAATAATTGTAATAATAATAGTAATAGTAATAATAATAATAATATGAATAATAATAGTAATAATAATAAAAACGGTTCCCTTCTTTTAAAAACAAGGAGTGTCAAATTATGACAATAATAGCCCACAGTGCTCTGTTCGAAAAATTTGATGGTTCATACCCTCCCTAAATCTCCCTGCCCCCACCCAAAATCGGCAATTGGCTACAATAACATTGTAGCCAATGAACGATTTTGAGTAGGGGTATGGGCTGATGGGTGGGGGGACAGGGAGAGTTAGGGGTGGAAACCATCAATTTTCTGAACGGGGCATCGTATACCTTGTCATATTATGACAACAATGGTTGTTTTCAAAAGAAGGCCACCGTAAATAATAGTAATAATAATTATAATCACAATAATAATAGTAGTAATAGTAATAATAACAGTAATGGTGATAATAATAATAATAATTTTGTTTAGATTTGATCTATTTGGATATATTTTAATCTGACCTGATTGGATCTGATCTGATTAAATCTGATCAGATCTAGTTTGATTCTAATAAGAATAAGTAATAAGCAGAAAAAATAAGTTGAACGGAACGCAGCCTAAACAAGAAGCTCTTTATACATCTAGTCGTATTATAACATGCTCACTATATTGAAGGGTTGGTAAGGGCCACACGTTCAAGGCACAACACTCGCATGGGATGCTAGTTATTCCACTATTTGAATTCTTAGCATCACATATACATTGGAATCCCTCATCGTCGTCGTCATATGACTCATGAGACATCTGAGATATGTCCACATATGCAATCACACATTGAATTCTTTCTTCATCATATCGACAACATTGGAATAGAGAGAAACAGTAAAGATCTATCATAAGAGTCAACCACAAATTGGACTCTGTCAAAATCATCGTTAGCAAACACATGCATGGAGGGGGAGTAATCAAATTTAATGTTTCCACTCCATCAAGGTTTGTTCTTGGAGTTTATAGGAAAATAGGAGAAGACTCTGATATTTTAGATTTAATATGTATTAAATGACTAATTTTTGACGTATTATCAACGAAGTCCACTAACAATTTTGACAATTGAAGCAAGATGAATATTTAATATATTATACACCAAAATTTATTATTTAGTAAATGAAAAATTTATTCTCAAAGTTGTCCCATCACGGGGGAGAAGTGATGAATTTTATGCGGGATTCATTACACATTAGAAAATTACCCCATAAAAATGATGCTTGAATGTGATTACACGACTGATCGCAAACAAGCATGAAAAAATCGAAACCTAGAAGGATTCTATTTATGTTATGTATAGCGTTCGAATGAAGTAAGTTTTTAATGTGATGTGGAATTCGGAATTCCACATAAACTTCACCAAAACTTCTATTCAACGGGTGAATTTTGGAAAACAAGCTTTTATTTGCATGTAAATTATATTTAGCGTCTAATATATCAAAGCATTGGCCTCCGATTTCTTAAAATTATACACGTCCATTAACTAATGATTAAAATCGTGAGAGAAACTCATTGATAATTATGTCTAAAGTTAGTCGTTTACTACACATTAAGCTCAAAATTAAAATTGCAATATATAGAATCAAACTGAATGAATCCCTCACCATACGATTTGATTCCAGGGTTCATATTCTGAATACAAAGAGGAACAGATTAAGAAAGCGTGTAATGTAGATAAAGTGATTATCCGGAGTAAGTGAAGGAACAATAAAATAGGTAAACGACGACCTTTAAAAATATAACATGGACAAATATTAAAATGGAAGGTGTATTTTTAAAATGCGATGAGGTTTGAGTGATTCTCACTTTAAATGTCGTCTTATATCACCGCGTTTTTAATTAGAGCACTTAAAGAATATATGACTCGTTAATTTTAAAAACGAACTGCAGTACCTTGAGACATAAGTTAATGAACCGACGCCTTTTAAATAAGGAAAAATTACCTAAAATAATCCTAACTTTACCCGGTCTTTCAAAAATAATCCCACCTTTCACTGTGATGCATAATAATCCCAACTTTATTGAAATTTGCCAATTTTAGGTCGCTGTTAAGTTTCTAACGGAGGGTTAACGGAAATGCCCGTTTTAGGCAACAAAATGAAAGTTGGGATTATTTTTGATGAATTTTTGTTTTTTAATTTTTTTGAAATTTTTATTTAAATTTTTTGAATTACTTTCAACCTCTATTTCTTTTTCTTTTTTAAAGATTATTCTTACCTTAGAAAAAAAATAGATATAAAAAATAATGAAAATGAGAAAAATAACTAAAACCATACAAAATTAATCAAATAAATAATGTAATCAATATAAATTAAACAGAAACTGGTAAGAAATAAAATAAATATATACGGAGTGGTGGGTTTTAACATTTTACACACTATACGGAGTCTTAGGGGCTGTTTGGCAACTTCTGAATGGGTAAGTGCTGAACCAGTAAGAGGTCTGAACCATTAAGTGCTGAACCAGTAAGAGGTCTGAACCATTAAGAGCTAGTATATTGCTTAACTATTCAGAGGCAAATGTCTGATCAATTCAGATAAGAGGTCTTAACCATTCAGACTTTGTATAATACTTAACCATTCAGAGGCAAATCTCTTAACCATTCAGACATCTGAACCATTAAGAGGCTGAAACAAACAGTCTGAACCATTAAGTGCTGAACCATTCAGACATCTGAACCATTAAGAGGCTGAAACAAACAGCCCCTTAATGTACAACTTATTTTTTAAAAGAACAAGCAATCCGATAAAGTTGGAATTATTGTAGACAAGTTTTTCTAAAAAAACAAGAAGTGATATGTTAATACTTTGTATAATGCGTAAAATATTAAAACCCACCCGTATATTTTTATTTTACTTTTACCAATTTCAAGTTAGTTTCCATTGATTACCTTATTTATTTTATTATTTTTGTATCATTTTAGTTACATTTCTCATTTTTTGATTTTTTATATCTATTATTTTTATTTTTTAAACTAAGACTAATCTTTAAAAAAGGAAAAAGAAATGATGATGAAGGTAGAAAGTAATTTAAAAAATTTAAATTAAAAATTTAAAAAAAAATAAAAAAATGAAAATTCATCAAAAATAATCCCAACTTTCATTTTGTTGCCTAAAACAGACATTTCCGTTAAGCCTCCGTTAGAAACTTAACGGTGACCCAAAACTGGCAAATTTTAGTAAAGTTGTGGTTATTATGCATCACAGTGAAAGATGTGATCATTTTTGAAAGACCGGGTAAAGTTGAGATTATTTTGGGTAATTTTTCCTTTAAATACAGACTTCCGCATAGGGGTGTAAACGAACCGAATCGAAGCGAATATTGAGATATTTGAATTTGTATTTGTTTAATTTTTTCGAATACGAATCCGAATCCGAATATGAGACGAATCAAAAATAAGATTTGAATTTGTATTTGATTAATATTTGAATACGTAACGAATCGTAAACGAATATTTTAATAATTATACTCCATAATTTATATGATGGACCACCATAGATTTTGAATAATTTAACTTACGATACTTCTTATACCATACCTAAAAACATTAATACATTTTCATCTTACACAAATTATATTGTATAAAACATAACTAAAAATCATATGTTTTAGATTTCTGTGATACGTTAATTTATTGAATTCTAGCTTATTAATTTAAATACATTTTATACTATATTACTTGACTATTGATGTTGAAACATGGTTTGTGGACATATACATATATTCGAATATTCGAATATCACCCGAACCGAATATACTCCTATTTGTATTTGTATTTGTTTAATATTTGAATCAAAACTAATATTTGAATTTGAATTTGTATTTGAATAATACGAATTCGAATCATTATATTCGAATACAAATCACGAACCGAATTAAAACGAATTAAAAGTATTTAGTCTTTTAACCCTTCTTCTTTCGAAAATTGGAAAGTGCACCCAAACACTCACCCCCCTTCTCTCTCCCACTCTGACACACACAAAGACAGCCAATCGCACGTCACCACACCGCATCTCTTTCAACTCTCTCTCTCTCTCTCTCTTCATTTCATCTCAGGAATGCAATCCATCTGTTGAAACGACGTCGAACCGTTCGTTATCAGAAGATCAGAGCTAGGAGACACTAGGGTTCAGAAGAAAATCCCATTCATTCCTCGATCACAGCTTGGAGAGACTAGGGTGTTGAATGCTTTGATTCTTCATGGAAGCTCACAATTCAAATTCGGAGCTCCACAGCCCGTGTTTGGGAGCTGCAGATAGTCAAAGGTTCGTCAACGATGCCACTACCGTAAGACGTGCGATTTCGGGAGGTGCACATGGTCACGAGTGTACTTCTTCTGGTCGGAATATGGATGGCGGCGCGCAGCTGGCATCTGTAACGGTGGCGCCAGCTGGCGGTGCTGTATTGGACGCCGGGAAAGCTGCAGATGTGAATGCTTCGCTGGCTAGGGTGATCGGCACGGAGAAGAGGAAGAGGGGTCGGCCTCCGAGGGGGCAGTCTGCTGTGAAGCCTCCACCGCCGAAGAGGAAGAGGGAGGAGGATGAGGAGGAAGATGTTTGCTTTATATGCTTTGATGGCGGTTCGCTTGTGCTCTGCGATCGCAAGTGAGTGGGCGTGATATGTATATACACTATTATAAATTTGGCCATGCTTGACATCTTTAGTGTGTTTGGTTGCAAGAAGGCTTTATTCGTATGCTGGACGAACATGTTACTTCGCAAATGTTGTAAAATGAGCTCTAGGCTCTCTTTTCCTGAGTTTTATCACAACTTTTTTTTCTCGTAATGGCTAGGGGATGTCCGAAGGCATATCACCCAGCTTGTATCAAACGGGATGAGTCATTTTTCCGCTCCAAGGCTAAATGGAATTGTGGTATGTTTCCATTTCAAATGTTAATGCCTTAGATTGATTGTGTGGAGTTGCATAAGCAAAACACCAATTAGTCAATCGGAATAATTTGGGTCTTTGATTTTGTATTGTCACATTGGTCTTTACAACTGTGAACCTTTAGCAGTTGTTAGTTTGTAATTATAGAATTGTGAGCTTTTATCTATTTTACAATGAATATTTCAGATAGAATTGACAACCAATTGGCAATAGAGGGAGTAATCCACATTTTAATATATTAGTCTTTTTATAGCATTGGGTGTTCGATGTAGAACTTTATTTCTTCAACATCCCTCAAATTTAGTTTGGGTTTTTTTTAATCAAGTTGTCACTATTTCAAATAGACATATGTTTTTTTTAACGTCTATGCCTTGATATACCATGTAAAATTATCAGATTTTATGGTTTTATCCCAAAACCAGTTGGTAGTAGTAACCCACATTCTTATTCTTATTTATTAGGCTTGTTAGCCTAGCTGTTTGATGTGAGACTTCATGTCCTCGACAGAAATAAATCAACCCTAGAGGGTTATTCATTATTTGTTGTAGTCACGTTCTAAATAGTAACAGTCTCCAGTTGGTAGGCTAGAGCATAATGCCTAGGCACGTTTAAGTGGTGATTAATCAAGGACAAGGCAATTTTGGATGGGGATAAATCGTAGGCGGCTAAAGGATGCATAGTGTTTAGGTGGGTCCTAGGGAATGCTAAGTGGCATTTTAAAGAAGAATGATTCCAGTTTTACATTTTGAGATTTGCATTTATATAGCTCTTGTTTGGATTAGCAGTCAACAACTATTATAGCAGGTTTGATTAGTAATGAGCAGTTAGCAGCTTTTAAAAGATGTTTGGTAACTTTACAGTGTTATTCAACTTTTATGTGTAAAATGAGCAAAATCCTCAAATATATGTTGTTTACCAAAATGCTCGTTTTAAATACTTTTAGGGATAGCATTTAAAAAAAATGTTTTGACACCATAATGGTTTTCTTAAACTCTGTCTACCAGTCACCACAATTAGCGTACATTTCTGCTATGTCAAACATGTTCTCCTTCAAAATGCCAAAAATGAGCATATTGCTCAGCTCACTGCTCTGCAATATTAAATTTACCAAAAAATTAGGCCATAATAAATTAGTAATACAAGGATGCACCTTCACGTGCCGTATGAGGTCTACATCAAGTTTAGAGGACTACTCTAGGTTTACTTTTCAGCTTTCTTTGATATACTCCTTAATACTACCTCAACTTCTACTTCTCTTGAAATTTTGGTGACTTATTATCGGATGATTCATGAGTTCTGTCGGATCCTCTCTGTATAGTCTTTTGTCTAGAAGTTTCCCTTTTCCTTCATTTGCTTTTCTCGAATGGTATATGCTAGATTATCTTTTGTTTTAGTTTCTATAGTTCATGTCCCACAGAAGAAATATGAAGAATTTTGCATAGATTTGCAAACTGAATAAATAATTTACATTTGTTTTCAGGTTGGCATATTTGTAGTGTGTGCCATAAGTCTTCCCATTATATGTGCTATACTTGTACATATTCATTGTGTAAGAGTTGCTTTAGAAATGCCGATTACTTTTGTGTCCGAGGGTGCAAAGGATTTTGCTCTACATGCATGAGATTTATCTTGTTGGTTGAAAACAAAGACGAGGCAAACAAGGAAACGGTATGTATTCTGCATATTAATATTAAAATAACTTCATACTTGATGTTGAACCTTTTGTTTGGTGGCTTCATTAAAGGTGTATCTATTATCTAAAATCACTTGGGCACCTTACTTCCTTACTGTCTCTTGCTCTAGGGGGGGGGGGGGTAGGC